TCTCTCTCACTTTCTATCTCTCTCACTCTCTCTCTCTCTCTCACTCTCTCTCTCACTCTCTCTCTCTCTCTCGCTAAAATTAAATGTTTGTATCATTTCTATAGTTATCATCATTTGTGGAGAGAATTGGTGTGAAAAGGATTGGCTTTTATTGTCACAAACTATTCATTATAAACACATTCAGGGGATATGAGGTATGCGTATACTTATTCTATTATATTATATTTAATTTAAATAAAATATATTCTAAAAATAGTTATAAATTATAATACTTATATTTGATATTTATTTATTTTTTGATTTAATTTACAGATTTTATCACTCATTGCATTAATGTTCCTAAAGATTTATTAACTATCATAAATGACAAAAATATAGCATCAATCACAATACAATTTCACTAAAATTAAATGAAAATTATTTACATAGCTGACTCGTTAAAATTAATCACATAAATATATCATACGGAACTGTGCTAGGTACACATAAATACTGTTTACGAAATAAAATAAATCACGAATAACTGCCATCGGAGTAAATATCGGCCAACGCGGCAAACCTGGGCCCTAACCTACTCAGGGTATACTCAAAGTCCTGTTCCCCGTCACTGAACCCGGACCCCAGTGAACTGAGCGAGCTAATCGTACTGCCCCCTCCCTCGTAATTATAGCCACGTAGGTCATCATCAGCGGGGCCATCAAACTGTTCATGGTGAACGGCCATTTGTTCAAGGTTATTTTTGATAATATGGCCGACCTGGGGGTCTAGTGTAGTGGTCTCGACAGGGACTGAATAGTCGGCGCTATCCTGGTGCTGAACAACGGGAAAAGTTTGCCGATAGTAGACATCTTTGACCTGGACAGGTTTATCGTGCTCAGATTCAGCAGGGTTCACTGTGGACGTATCGCTCCGGAAACTGTTTGTACGCCACGTGCCGTTGTCGTTGATGTCTAGCTTGCCATCTAATGTAATATGTTTTGCAAAAAAAATATTAGTTTATTGTTCAAGGTGATTTTAATAGAAATAGAAATATTGGAATTGTAATTCTAATTCTAACGATTTATAAAATTTTTTGAAATTTTTATTTAAAATTTACAGTTTTGTTATGTAGTAAAATAGTATGTTTTGTGTCCAAGTTTTTAGGTATAATATTAATGATAAAATAAAATATAATATAATATTTGAATTGTTTCTTAATATTTTGCTAAACTTCATACAGTATTATTCCCTAATGATTGACATTTACTATTGATTAGTTTATCAAATGTTATTTACTCAAACATGTTAAATTATATTGCATAATACATGACTAATTTAAAAATATCCTTAACCTGAACGGGATAAATTTATTGTAAGTTAATCAAAATTAAACACTACGAGTAATTATAAAACAAAAATAAATTTACATATAAAATACCAAAAATAATTATAAAATTAATAAATTTTGTGACATATAATTATTATTATTTAATTACAGCTTTAACAAAATAGACAATTTAATTTAACCAGGTAACACCAACCTATTGACATATCATTGTCACGTCTAATATGATGTCCATCATTAAGTTCCGGGTCAGTTTCTCTATGGCGGCGCTTATTATTTATATACAAGTATATGACCAAGCCCAATATAATAAAATTAAGCGAGCCTACTATTATAGCTATAATAGCACCTGGATCAATACTTTGGTCATTCATATTGTATCAATGGTCGGTCAGCGCACAGGTAGACCGCCCGTACTCGCGTAATGGGACGGCTATTACAGCATATATTTTACATAACAATTGTATGAGTAAACTGTAACACAAACACACAATGAAATGTCTGTCCCTTTGCGATATAACTGATAAAAACTGATTACTATTTTATAAACAGTAAATAAATTTTTAATTTAATCATGCTAAATTATTTTTAAGTTAATTAGGTTATCGGCAATATTAAATTGAGTACTATTTATATAACTAGATAAACAATTTATAATTAGTAGCACAATTAATTATTGTAAATTTAGATATCCATGTAAATATTACCGCAAGTATACGGTATATTAATACAAACAGGTATGTAACAGTTTAATTTCAATTGTGATAGGCAATGCGCCAAGGTAACCAGGGTTATCTAATCTAGGAATTCATATTGAACAATGTTGTTTCCTTATACCAAATGCACTGTTAATAAATTTATAATAAAATATATTTATAAGGAAAATGTGTTAACTCTATGGCAATGAGTTTTATCGCAAGTATTGACATTAATTTAGTTTTATTACATTAAACCGCTATTTGTTTTCGTAATCATAAGTTTGGTTTAATATAAAATATTTCTACAGATTTATTTGGGATTATATTTTATTACAATAATTTTACAATAATTACATAATAAATCTATCACGTTACAATAACAATATTAATTCAATATTAAATGTTATGAATACAATTATGAATAATATTGTACTGTATAAATAATAATAAATATTAAAATATTTTAAACAAATTATGCACAATTGTTTAAAATTTTATTTAAAACCAACAATTTTATTAATATTATTTTCACGACTATATGTTTATTTAAAATATCCAGATTAACTCTCGACAAATATTATCTATAATACAATTACGTTTATACAATAAATGATTAGTTGTGTCAAACAGAAAAATGCATTTATAAAGCATAGGTATAGCTAGGGCTGCCAAACGTCCTCCAATCGGCCCCTCAAAAAACAGTCCTTCCGAGGGTATCAGGAGGACAATGTAATGTCCTCCCAGAAGTAATTGTCAAAATCATGCAAAATATTCATTTAATTACCAATTAATTTCCGAAATTCGTGAAAATAACCTGCGAGTTCAAATCATTCTTTAAACAATTTATGAACAATTATTAGGATTACAAAAATTGGTGTATTCAATTGTAATTGTTACTAGCTTTAAATTATTGTGTGGCCAGTTGGAGTAAAAATATATAGCAATATTAGTAATTAAACATTTTAATTTTTTGTCCTCCTAATGTCCTCCTGGCCAGGCTTAATTTTGACTATTTGTCCTCCCGGGCCATGAAAATAGTTGGCAGCCCTAGATATAGCACATGGGTAACTATAATATTATAGTTGGTATTAGGTTGTAAAATAAATACCACCATAATATATTGTATGTAATATACTGTACATATTTTGAAATTATTTAAAAATAATTATACATGCGTAGCATGACATTACATTAAATAAATTGTACGTATGCAATACAATAAAATAATACTTTTACAAAATGACCATACTGTATTTAGAGATATTTTAATTCATACTTTACAAAACATATTTAGTTAAACAATAATAAAAAATATTATACTAGTATTATATTTATAAATATCTATAAAATAATTTTTTTATTGAAATAAATAATGTTATAACCTTACAAGTGTATTATTATAAATATAACACCTGTGTTAATAATATATTGAGGATTATTATTATTATTATTATTTATTATTATTATTTTTATCAATAATTTAATTTTTCAAAATGCAATGCAAAACAAAAATTCAGCTTTTCACTTTTATAAGCAATTATTATAGCACCAGAATATTGAAATAATTCACAACACTTAAAACAATTTTAAATTTAAAATTATTATTAAGAAATTACTTTTTATAAACAATTTCTGAAATCAATGTAGAGTTTTAAATACAACTAAAGTCTTTAAAACTAAAATAAACCTTACAAGTTTATTTTTGTAAATATATTAAAAGAATTCTTGAAACTTTTATTTAGCAAATGAAACCATATAAATTTATATTATAAATAATTATATAAAACATTATTTTTAATATGCTACATTAAATTCAAAAACATGTTTTATTAGAGAAAAAATACATTTCAATTACTATAAGCAAATAAAATTCTAAGAAATCTATTTAAATTTGTTAAATCAATATGTTTAGATATTGATCTAACTTTTATATATAAGTATATTTTTTATTAAGTTTTATAACGTGTAATATTAATATTCTGAGAAAACTTTATTTGAATAAGAAATCATATAAAAAAATTAACATTACTGGTATAATACATATATATACTAAAAACATATCTCAAATGCTTTCTCAACGTTAAATAATAAATTTTATTATAAGTACAATTAAAATCAATTGACATTGTTTCAATGAAATGCTACCAATAATTATTATACAATTATAGGAATCATTATGTAATCAAAATTATAGGCAATTAACGAGTCTTCCGGGGGTTGTGTCGAAATTTCAATTAAAATTAAACAAAATTGAAAACATAATGAATTTAATAAATTCATTAGACGGCCAACACTTTAAACATTTTAACACTAATCTCAATACTGACTAATGTTATAATGTTTACAGTTTTGGCACTGTTAATGTGACCCGGATTGCATGCACGCGATATTATTATAAAAATATTAATCACGTTGAAATATAATTTTCTAGACACTGATATATACTGTATTGTTATTAAATTTATAAAAAATTATTAACAACATTATTTAATAAAACATTTACAACAACATATTTTTTAGACATAATAACCAATAGTTTTATTCATTTTGAAACATATTGACAGTAGTATCAAGCACATCCAGCTCTATGCTTATACAGTCATTATCAGTAAATTGTTGCCAACTATTTAATTCGACACAAAGTATGTCCACAATCTTGCCCTTGAAATAAATTGTCAATTGTGTCCACCAGAAAAGTACAGATATTAATGTTGGCACTAATGTAAGGAATGTCAATAAATTATAATCTATATTTGATGGGTCAATTAGTATCACCACAAATAATGAATGATAAATGAGTATGCAAAAATAATTAAGACAATTGAAATGGTTGGCGTAGTTTATGTTTTTATTCATTAATGTCCTAAAGCGAATAAATGTGTGACTATTTTGTTGGACGTTAATTATGTCGGCGTTTGTGGGTAGGTGGTTTAAATTGAAATTATAATTTTTAAATATTATCTTGTATCTTTCTAAAATATTAATAATTGTCATACGAACTTCGAAATACATTAATTGTAATCCCATATACCAGCCCGTAGTGTGTACTGTCATAAATATCATCCTTTTATCAAATTTTATCGGCACGTACTTTATGGAAAATAATTTGTAAATTTCAATATATCTATAACTATATGCACAATATCCACATACGAATAAGCTCAAAATAATTGAACTACATTGCAATATTATGTTATTAAGGTTGTTAGTATTCATTGATAAATTATGTGATTTGAGCTCGGTGTAATAATTAAATATTTGTCGTTCGCGGTATTTTGATATTACAAATGAAATGAGTAATGATAGTGATATGATTAATACGAATATTTTCGCCGTGTTTATTATTATATCATGATCACGTGATAATGACAAAACAGTTTGCAAGAAAAATACAAAAAGTACCGTGATTGTAATTCCGGTGAATATATGTCCCGCAGTCTTTTTATGACAGTTAAAACCAAATATGGTTAACACGTATTCAAACATTTTATTATTTAATTATTAGTCAAATATTTTAATTTTTAAATAAAATATAACACATTAACAATGTTTTAACTTTAATACTTTTATTTAATAAATTTATTCTATCATTCAATTACTAAAAAATTTATTATTTTACAGCTTATTTTATATAACTAAATATACCTTACAAGTTTTGAAAGCAAATGAAATCTTATAAATTTTTACTGTAATATAAAGAATTTTATAAAAAATATTTTTAATATGTAGCATTAAATTCAATAACATGTTTTATACATAGAAAAATACATTTCAATTACTTTAAGTAAATAAAATCTTAACAAATTTGTTAATTCAATATACTATGACGGACTAAATTGTCATGAGAATTTCTTATATTGAGCTAACTTTTGATATATAAATATATTTAATTTTATTATTTTATTTATTTTTATAATATGTAATGTTAATATTCCAAGAAAATTTTATTTAAATAAGAAATCATATAAAAAATTAACAAAAAAATCTATACAAATACATGTTTTCAAATACTTTCTCAATGTTAATTTATAATACTTTACAACCTTTGTAAATAACTAAATAAAAATAAGCAAAAAATTATTATTAACATTTATTAAAAATATTTAGAAAATAATATAAAAACGAGCATGTTTGAATATTATTAGAATTATTATTATTTTTATGAAAAGTATTATTTAGCGTAGAAAGTTAAAAAATTAAATGTAAATAATAATATGAATAATGTTAATAATTATTAATTCTAAGAAAATTAATAATTAAAATATAACAATTTTGCTAATCTTGATCATTATCTACAGATTTATATCCCGGATAATATAATAACATGATCATAAATATTTCTACACATTATTCTAACTGTTGCTGTAATATAAGTAACTAATAATATTAAATTTTTTATATAAATACTGAAGTTGTATCTAAATCATACTGACAATGAAAAAATGGACTTGTATTTAATAAAAATCATTGTATTATTTGCTGGCTTAGTTTTGTCAAAATCAAATGGCAAGCAAATTATTAATTTAGCTAGTCATAATGCAACTGGTATACAAACAAATCGGCGTATGCATTATTTTTAAATAATATACTTTATATATAATAAATTTAATAATATGTAAAAGTTTTTTTTAAACTAACAATATCAATTATATTAGCTTATTAAATTATCTAATTTTTTTCAAAATAGTTTTTCCGGTGACACTCCCACCGATGCTAAACGACCAGTGCTTCGACGCCTCTAACCAATCGGGCGTTTGTTATACGCGCCTAAAATGTAGACTAATAGGCGGCGCCTACAGTGGTATCTGTGCCCTGGGCTTAGGTGCATGTTGTGTGGGTAAGTTAAACCCCATTATCACTGGTACCCTGAACAATTACAATCAATTTTTATATATAAAAGTGTCCCAGTCGTGTCATAAACAAACCTCGGATAAAGTGGTGTATTTCAAGAACCCTGCTCACCCACAAGTTGATACTAGCGCCCAGTTATGCGATATGACTGTCAATGTGAAGGACCCAGATGTTTGTCAAGTGAGACTAGATTTTGTGGACTTCCAGTTGGATGAGCCCACACTCGGCGACTGTATGGGCGATAAGTTTAAGGTTACGGCGTCAGGGGGTAGTCCACTGGATATACCGGTGCTTTGTGGACAGAATGCAAATCAACATAGTATGTAAACTCATTTATTAATTATGTTCTATGACCTTGGTATATAATATTTAAAAGTGATCTTAATTATACCAGTTTAATTTTTAGTTTCTAATTATTAAACAGATTTATTTAAGTAAACTAGTGTATATATTAATACTTTACAATCAAGATATATTTTAATAGTTAGAAACTAATAGAATTAACCTTTATAAAATAATCGCAAAGTTTTGTGTGTAATATTATTTAGTTTGATTATGTTTTAAAATAGTATCAAGCAGAATACACTGTATATTTTTTACTTTTTTTAAACCGTAGTTTACGTACACCTACCCCGGGATGGGTCCAAACAAAAGTCGGTAACCATAGTGTTTGACACTAACTCAGCAGGTGATTATAGGTGGCACGTGAAGGTCACGCAAATTGATTGCAAACTTGGATACAAATGGCAATTATTGCCGGACAACAGTCAATCTGAATATCCGCCGGCGCCTATCGGTTGCCTACAAGTGAGTCATTGTTGTAAATAAACGATAATTAAAAATATATTTACTCACGAGTTGCCCAAAGTTTATCCGAAAGTATTTATTACTAGGTGATAAATTTGAAAAATAAACTAGCTATGTATTTTGTGAGTGCTTTTAAATCATATAATTAATTTATACAGTATAGGTTGCTATTATATATTTTATATTTAACCATTCTTGTAAATATTTATTATATTTTATGTAATAATACTGTATGTTTCAGTACTATACGCCACCTGCCGGTACAGTCGAGTCGTTCAATTTTGGTCAATACATAAATAACGTCGACTACGCCATATGCATCGAACGTCAAGCTAACACGTGCAGGGTCACCTACCAGGCCACCGATAATAACTGGTCTCTAGATAGCACCCAGATATCAAAGGACCTTGCTGGTGTAGGCGATGCAACATGTAACACTGATTACCTATTAATACCTGGTGGGTCGGGTAGTTCAGTGCCAGTTAACACCCCTACATACGATCGATATTGTGGTGGGCGTCTAAATTGGCAAAATGGAGTGGCGTTGGAAGCTCCGGTAGTTTCAAAAACTCACGGTCCTATTGTGCTATGGTTTCATTCGGACAGCATTCAGGACCCGACTGTTAGCGAGGGATTCCGTTTGCGTTACGAACAGAGCTCTACTGAATGTACTACCGGTCCGTATAGGGATGTCACCGGTAGTGAAGCGGTTAGAAATTCCGGCGCGAAAGTTGTGTAAGACTTTTGATAATTGTTTATATAAATTACGTTGGTAATTAATTAAAATTATTTCTGAAAATACTTAAAATTTTTATTGTAATGGATTAATTTTTATAAAAAATTATACATTATCTAAATGATTATTACATTTTGGTAAAAGTCCTTGTATATTTATATTAATAACCTGCTAGCGTATAAAAATTAGCTAACCAAGTTATATTTAGAAATTAGACACAATAAAATTTATAATCTTATAAGTACATAATTACTTTTTAAAAATCTACATTGTAATATTAAAATAAAGTTATAATTTAAATTTTGAGTAACTTATTTTTTTAAAGTATACACTAATTTATATATTCAACAATGGTTATTTAACAAAATACATATTCAACTGTAAATATCATTGTTGCCACTAAATTGCAAACTGTCAACACAATAAATATATTTTTAATTTGTAACAAATTCAGTGCGTTTACAATATATTGCATATTATTGCTTATATTGATGTTTGGATATGTATTGACACGTTTCAAGTAATAATTGACTTTCCAGTGGTCTAATAGTCCGGACCTTGATACGTCTAAAATACTAATAAACTAATTGTTAATTAAGGTTTTAAATATTAGCTTATTAAAGTGTGTTGATAATTTATCATTAATAATATTATGCATACATTGTATTGAATTCCTTAACATATGGGAAGTGTTTATTAAATCCAATGGCAATATAATCATTAAAAATATTTGCCTCCTTACTAGGTGCGAGGTCATATTTAATATCTTTCACCCGTATTAGGTACTCGATAAAATTTCGTTCAAATAATAAATAATAATTTGTCATGGTATGTTTTACTGAATTAATTATTGAATCAGAATTATCCACCAGGAAAATAGATTTATCAAAATTAGCAAGGTTTTTTGATAGAGACTCCTAAATAATTATAAAATTAAATAAGATTTAAAAGAAATTAATTATGTCTAACCTCATTTTCCAAAAGTGCGTTAAACAAGTTAAACGTGCCCTTGGTCATTATGAATTTAATTTTCCCTTTTTTGTGCTCGCTGAATAATTCCTGTATGGTTTCTATGCCACTATATTTTACTAACATAGCCATATCCACATACATTTGCCCACCGTAAAATAATCTCAATATAATGCCAGATAATATGCATACCATAATTAAAGACTTCACCGGACACGACCATGCTAATTTTTCCGGTATATTTTGCGATAGTAATATAGCGACAAAATTAACGGTACGCCCTAGTTGTTTATACGTGGCATAATTTATAATTATATTCACGGTGTATAATAAAATTAGCGAGCACATTATTATCAACCATATGTGCCTTTCGAACGGTGCTAATAGGGATGAACTATATTTATATACATGAGATACCGGTGCCGCGAATGTATACGAAGTAATCATATGCGGGTAACTGAAGTCCATTACACTTAATCTATTATGTAGCATGCTAAATTCACCAATACCGATAGATTCATTCTAAACATACAAGCAAACAAAAATAATTATATTATCATTATTATTAAAAGTAAAAAATTATCATTCATACATTTTTGACCAGGTAACCTACCATCCCGTCCCACGTATTATTAGGCAATTTTGTGCCCCATTTATTATTGCAATCAATGTATCGGTATGTGAAATTGAAGTAGCTACTTAAGGTTTGCATTAAGCTAGCTTCGAGCCCTTCAAAATTACCATGTTTATAATTTAATAATCCACTAGATATAAATGGTGGGTTCTTTAAAAATACAATATTTATTTATACTATTACAAACATACTACTGTATAAATTTAATTAATATTACCTCATTTGTAGCCACGTTAATTAGTTTTCCGTTTAGGTTAGTCCGCATTATTTAAATATTTAGCTACCCTTTAACTATATTTATAACTAGGTTCATAATACTTGTTTATGTAAATTTATACTTGGTGAATTTTAACAAATTATAATATAATTATACCAATTATTTCAATTTGTATGGATAATCAATAAAATGACAATTACGATAATTTATATATTGCAATTAAAAATAATATTTATCATTTCACTTGTTTATGTAGACTTATAATTGCTGAATTATTGCAAATTGTAATATAATTATGCCAATAATTTTAATTGGTATGGATAGTCAATAAAATGACAATTGCGATAATTTATATATTGCAATTAAAAGTAGCATTTATTATTTGAATAATAATATAACCTTGGCTTATTCATTTTTATTTGAATGTAAAGTTATGGTAAATTATCAATAAGGTTTTTCACATTTTTATTATAAAAAATATATATATGGTAGTATAATTATGCTTTAAATGTTATTTGTTCAACCTAGTAACCATTATATTAATAAATTATTTTATTATACAATTGTTTATATTGTATGAAATGAAAAGATATTTATTGTTGTAAAAATTTATTAGATAAAACATCATAGAATATAATATAGATAATTTTATTGATTGCTATTAACAATAGCCTAGTATGGTTTAAAAGCAATTTGTATTTTTCAAAATAAATTTCTATAACATATCATACCAGGCTAGTGACAATGATTGATATAAAAATATTAATAATAAAAAGAATTAATATTATATTTAATATATAGTGGTTACTATAATAACAACATAAATGTAAAAGTTATTTATAATAATAAAATATGAAAGCAAAATTTTTTTAAAATAAAATTAAGCAACAATTATTAAATTTATTATAATATTGCTTAATTGATATCATTTGTTTTATTTTTAACATTATATTATACTGTAGAAACTAATGTTAATTATATTATATTATAGCTATATAAACCTATTTGAAATAAATGAAAAATGTATTAAAAATTATTTAAAAATAACTTAATTTATTATCATTAATTTAAAATTACAAATAAAACACATAATTTTTAATATTTTATTGCAAAAGATATTAAAATAACACTAAAATTATAGTTTAACACTAAGATTTAGTCTATATAATTTTAAAATTAATAATTCCTTAAATTAATATAAATAAACATGGTAAAATTTTATATTATCACACTAGATATTTAATATGGAACAGGATTAATTTTGTATCAGCCATCTAATTAACAAAAATAAATATTTGTAACTTTAAAATTAATGTTTAAATTATAAACTTACAAACACTAATGCCACTCTCATTGCCACGTTTCTGAACAAGGTTATCATTTCCATTGTTCACTGATACTTTATTTTAAAAATATAAAACAGTAATGTATAAACATTTACTAATTTACAAATTATAATTCAAACAACTTACCCTGGTCGTGTTTAGCAATATTTATCTCTGGGTCAGTAGCACTCGGGTGACATTTATCACTGCCATTGCATTCTTTTGTACTAGCTAAACTAACCAGTACACTTAATAAAACTGTTGAAATTATTAGGACGCGCATTATAATAATATTTTATAATTAAACTTGGTATAGTAATTTTAAAATTATAATTGTATTAGGTTTAGTGTTGTTCGAGATTATAAATAAATTAAGTAGGACAAATGTCATACGATTTATGCAGTATGATCATCAAATTAAAAATATATTTAGCAGTATGGTGTTCAGCATACATAGTACATTAATGTAGCATATGTCACTAATTTTAAATAGTGGTAATAATTATTTTTAACCTAGATCAGTATATCACGATTATACTGATTATACTCTAATATTATGAGTTATACAGAAAACTATTTATTACATATACTGTACATGTTTTCAAAAAACATTGTATTTATATTTAACTTTATTCACTGAGTTATCAAAAACAATAACAATTATAAATATACTTTATAATTATATTATACAATTAAATTAAACAAATAAAATATACACACATTTTTACATATAATTAAATAAACGAGGTAGTTTATACATATATATTTAGTAAACAATTAGGTTCCCGGTCTCACGACAACTATTTGCGGGTTATTCCTATACGGCTGGCGACGCACCCTTTGGGGGCCATTCATCACAACACGGGTTACGTACTGATTCTGACCGGACCCTCGGCGTCGGACTACAGTCTGTCTCATAGCTTGAGGGGAAGGCCTACGAGGTTTCACTTTAACCGGCAACACCTTAAACCGGTAGATATTGAAGCACATGGACTCCAGGGTAGTCACCAACAGGCATATACTTGATAAATATACTAGCACAGTCACTATGGATAGGAATTCCCATGTTATAGACACAATGAAACTGTTGTATAGTATGATGTATGGGACGAGTAGTCTATAGCCGATAGGTATGCCCAGTAATAACACAGAATATACGGTGATTAGTGCGGTATGTACTACAAGTATGTAGGTTTTTGGTCGTTTTATGGCCACTAAACGGGCGTACACTTTGACACACATTATAACTATACTGAGCACTAGTAATACGGAACTGAAATAGTTGAAATATTTTTGTAGGAATTTGAACTTGATCATAAATCGCGAGTTTATTGTGTATGTGTTTAGCACGGATAGCATTGTTAATATATAAACATATCCCATAAATATTATTATAGATATTATTACTTTTAATTTAGTTTCCATATTTAATTATTCAATAAATCAGCTTAGCACATTATATATTTAGCAATGGTAAGCATAAAAATAATTAAAAGTTCTTGTGTTTATTATTCACAGTATATATAATATACACGACTAATGTGTTTATTATGTAAAATACATTTTAAGTGAATATTCTCTACACACGAGAGTAGTGTCTAATTATAGTATCATTCCTTATCTCACAAATACAGTCTACACTCGATTTAATAAACAGTTTAAAATTCATATTATAACTTATAATATACAGTATAACCTATAGTAATTTATAACTAATTCAAGAATAAAATGAAACAAAAGGTATACTTAAATATATTTTTTTAAAGATTTTTAAATTATTTATAATAATTAATAAGAATATAATATAATATAATAATAAACAATATGTTATATAAATATAAAGTGTATGCGCCGATAA